GAGCTCAGCTTCCTGCTCCTGCCTGCCATCCCTGCTGCCTGCCCTGCCTGCTGCCCGCCCTGCCTGCTGCATGCCCTGCCTGCTGCCTGCCCTGCCTGATGCATGCCCTGTCTGCTGCCTGCCATCCCTGCTGCCTGCCCTGCCTGCTGCATGCCCTGCCTGCTGCCCGCCCTGCCTGCTGCCTGCCCTGCCTGCTGCCTGCCCTGCCTGCTGCCTGCCCTGCCTGCTGCCTGCCCTGCCTGCTGCCTGCCCTGCCTGCTGCCCGCCCTGCCTGCTGCCTGCCCTGCCTGCTGCCTGCCCTGCCTGCTGCATGTCCTGCCTGCTGCATGCCCTGCCTGCTGCCCACAATGCCTGCTGCAAGGCCTGCCTGCTGCCTGCCCTGCCTGCTGCATGCCCTGCCTGCTGCCTGCCCTGCTTGCTGTCTGCCCTGCTTGCTGTCTGCCTTGCCTGCTGCATGTCCTGCCTGCTGTCTGCCATGCCTGCTGTCTGCCATGCCTGCTGTCTGCCATGCCTGCTGTCTGCCCTGCCTGCTGTCTGCCATGCCTGCTGTCTGCCATGCCTGCTGCATGCCCTGCCTGCTTCATGCCCTGCCTGTTGCCTGCCCTGCCTGCTGCCTGCCCTGCCTGCTGCCTGCCCTGCCTGCTGCATGCCATGTCTGCTGCCTGCTGCATGCCATGTCTGCTGCCTGCTGCCTGCAATGTCTGCTGCTTGCCCCGCCTCCCACCATGATGACATCTTATCACTCTGGGACCATAAGCCCCAAATAAACTCCCTTTTCTGTAAGTTGCCTTGGTCTCTGTGCTTTATCACAGCAGAAAAGTAATTAACACAGCCTGCACAAAAGAAAAGCTCATTTGAAGCGATACCTATGGCCAGGGAATAATTACCAAAGGCTAGCCCACCCCAGAAATGCAGTAAAGACCCGCCACCCCTTTGCTCAGCCAGCCCCTCTTTGATCGGCACTAGCTCCCTCCAACTGCCAGCAGAAGTCCCAGAGACCCGGTGTGGCTTGTCTTTTTCATAATATATGACTTGGCCTCACTTCAGCTGTCTCCCTGCCATCTCATGTCACTCTCTGGGGCCAGGGAACATCAGATAACCCGGTACAGAGAGCGTGTTTAGAGCACAGCGGAGTACATGGTAAGCAACAGTGTTTACATTTCCCAAGTTGACCCTGAAGAGGCCAACTAGGATCTGTGAGGGTTTTTGTGTGATCTGAGGAATGCCATTATGGTGTCCCCCTGCGCGGCATGTTGTGAGCACCCAGCCCGGTACGGCTAAAATGAATGGATCACGGTGGGAGCGGAGGGCTTTGGATGCTCTTCTAAGATCTGAAAGATAACTTCTCTGAAACGGTCGAACTTAGCAGAGGTTTGGAAGCAAACGACACCTGAACGACCTTTAATGGAAGGCGCGCTGTGAAAAGGTCGGTGTCCTGCTGCCCAGCTCTTCATTTCCCTTGTCAGGTCCGCGGGGACCTTTGCTCGGACGTTCTTCTATGATGCCGGCTGCCACCGTCACAGCACTGAGCTTCCTGTTTCCCGGGATGAACCATCCTGTCCTCTTAGCCAAGGGTGGCTCCTCCACCCTGCCAAGGGTGCAGGTGTCCCTGCAGGGGAGACCTTCATTTACCTAGTTCTCAGGCTTCTGGCTTTCCTTTCTCTAGCTGAAGCGGGGAAAGAAATGCTCCAAAGCTGTCTGTTGTCTTGGAGAATGGACACGTCTGTCCCCAGAGAGGACCGGAGGCCACAGCAGGTGGCCACCACATCTGGAAAGCGCAGTCCCTGGCTGCCATCCCTGCTTCCTCGATGACCTAGACTTGGCGGGGCCACACAGCCCTCCTCCAAGTGCTGGCTGCACTGTGTACTGACCGCCGCCTCTGGGCAGGCTCGGGGGGTGGGGGTGGGGGCTGTGTGACACTGAAAGAACCTGTTCCTTATCCTGAGTGTCCTGGGTCACTGTGGAGTGGTGGGCTCTGGGACGGAAGCCAGGAAGGCTGGAGGAACTTCTGAGAACCACGGGCTGTGGGAAAGAGAGTCAAAGAACGTGTCCCCAGGAAACTGAGGCCTGAACCCAGTTTCTACATTGACAGGTGTGTGTGTGTGTGTGTGTGTGTGTGTTTGTGTGTGTACATATGTGTATGTGTGTGTATGCATGTGTATAGGTGTGTGTGAGTGTGCGTGCATGTATGACTGTGTATGAGTGTGTGTGTATGTGTGCAGATGTGTGTATTTATGTGTGTGTATGTATGTAGGTGTGTGTATATGTGTGTATTTATGTGTGTGTGTATGTAGGTGTATTTGTATGAGTGTGTGCATGTATGAGTGTGTGTGTATATGTGTGTGTGTGAATGTGTGTAGGTGTGTATGAATGTGAGTGTATGTACGAGTGTGTGAGTGTGTGTGTGTGTGTGTGTGTGTGTGTGTGTGTGTGTGATTGCAGGAGGGGAACATCTGCAGAGGTGTGAAGCGCAGGCTAGGGCTGAGGACAGGAAGCAGTGAGAGCTGGGGGAGCGGCACCCAGGGGTCCCAGCAGTCCCCAGGGGCTCACCCTAACCCTGAAGTTAGTCCAGCCCTGAGAGAAAACTGACTTGCTCTGATTGGTCCAGTAGCCCAGCATCTCTAGTAAAGCTCAGGGAGTGTCCTCCACAGGGATGCGCCCTTAGCCCACAGGCTCCACAGAGACATCAGCTTGCATCCTGGGAGGCAGCCTGTGCCCTGGGGAGGACACTGGGACCCTTCCAGGGGACAGCTAGGAACTAGAAAAGGCAGAGCTCTGGGAGGTCACGTGACAAGGGTCTGCAGTTAAATCACACTGACCTGGCCCTAGAGTAGGCCAGACCCAGCTAAAGGGAGCTTCTCTCACACAGGGTTTCCAGGTCATCCCAATTCTCCGGCAGTCTCCGGCAGTGTGTAATTACCCATTGTAATTCATTACTTAGTTAGGCATTTATATTTGATTTAATTAATTAAGCATTTATTAGGTGGCCTCTCTGTGGCAGGCATTTCACATCCTAAAGCCGCAGAAACCCGGACTCAACCCTCCAGGAGCTCATGGCAGGACAGGCGGGTCCATAAATAAGTTTCGCAGGCACAGCGTGAAATGTGACTGTGGTGGCTAGAGTCACCACTGTGGCTGAGTGTGGTGGCACATTCCTTTAATCTCAGCACTCTAGAGGCTGAGGCAGGGAGGTCTCTATGAGTTCAAGGCCAGCTAGTGTTGCAGAATGTTAGTGGAAGATGTGTTACATTTGTTTATGCCGTGGAACATTTGTTTAATGATGCAAAGATGTGTTGCATTCTTTTATGTTGCATTTGTTTAACTCTGTGAAGCTGTGTTACTTTGCCTGCCTAAGACACCTGATGATTTAATAAAGAACTGAATGGCCAATAGCAAGGCAGGAGAAAGGATAGGCGGGGCTGGCAGGCAGAGAGGATAAATAGAAGGAGAACTCTGGGAGGAAAAGAAGAAAGAACAAGAAAACAAGGAGAGGAGGATGCTAGGGGCCAGCCACCCAGCCACCCAGCCACCCAGCTGCACAGCTGCACAGCCACCCAGCTACCCAGCCAGTCATGGAGTAAGAGTGAAACTAAGATTACAGAAGTGAGAAAAGGAAAAAGCCCAGAGGCAAAGGTAGATGGGATCATTTAAGTTAAGGAAAGCTGACTAGAAATAAGCCAAGCTAAGGCTGGGCATTTATAATTAAGAATGCATCTTCAGGGGCTGGAGAAATGGCTCAGCAGTTAAAAGCACTGGCTGTTCTTCCAGAGGACCCAGGTTCGATTCCAGCACCCACATGGCAGTTTACAACTCTCTGTAACTCAAGTTCTGGGGTACCTGACACCTTCATACAGATACACATGCAGGCAAAATACCAGTGCCCATAAATAAAAAAATTTAAAAAAAGAAAAAAAAATGATTTATTTGGGAACTGGGTGGCCGGCCCCCCAAAAGAGCAAAAATAACCAACAACATGCCAGGGTACAATAATTATAATAGAAGAAGAAAGAAAGGAAATAACTCTTGCTGGCCAGGGGCTGGGGTTGGGAGGACTCGATGGTCCATCTTGCCGGTCTGACTGATTGCAATGCCTGGGGTACGGGTAAGATGGGGCCGGACGGATCACAAGAGAGCAAGTTCAGCTCCAAGTGGCACAGCTCCAGCTGCGTTAGCTGTACCTTTTGACCTTCCGACTTTAGTAACATTGTAGGAAGCGTGACGTCGTGATCAGTCACGCCATGACAGTCTCAGGGAACAGCCACATACCTGGTGGGCTATCCAAAGCCAGCAAAGCGGTCACTCGGTGTGAACTTCGAGCCCACGTTGCCCAATACTCCCGGCTGTGACAGTTCCCTGTAGCACCCCGTGTATGGTGACACATCCCAGGGGCAGGTTAGTGGCCCAGCCTGTGTTTGTCACTACTTCGTCTTGTCAGGCTCTTCACAGTCTAGTAGTTCTTTGTTTTTGTTTGGGGACAGCCCCAGGTGGCCTGGAACTTGCTATGTGGACCAAGGGGGCCTTGAACTCATGGAGAGCCTCCTGCCTCTGCCACTTGAGTGCCGAGAACCCAGTGTTTTAAAACGGCTCGGTGATTGCACTTGTAGTCCCAGCTACTTGGGACACTATGGGAGGACTGGAGCCTGTGAGTTCAAGGTCAACTGGGCAACACAGTGAGATCCCATCTCAATAAACAACAAACAGACAAACAAACAAGGAAACCAACCCCAGGCCCCCGAAACTCAGCATTTTAAAGAAGCAACATTAAAACATGCCTCGGGCCTTCTCTTCCCTGGGGATCCAACTGTATCCTTCCGCTCCCAGAATGCCCGCAGGTCAGCCTTCATCTATGGTTATCTCACCTTTTCTGGAGCCCCTGTTGGGTAAATGAGTACTTGATGAAAGCCAGTTTCTAGAAAGACCCCAAGGGTCAGCTTGTTTACAGCTATAGAGGCAGTGGGACCTAGGAGAAGGGAGCCTAAACATGAAGTGGACTAAAGTCTCATGCAATAGCCAACTTTATTCAGAGCATCAGACAATTTATACTCTGAGGGTTAAGAAAAATGAGTAAGGAGGCATACAATCACAAGGACAAGCTGCACATCCTGTCCTTGTGGCAAACACGTTTTCCCACAGAGGCATATAAACAAAAAACAAGGGCAGTTGTGATGAATGATGTAGAGAGAACTCACTCCTATCCGCCCCACCTGGGAAGACCATGGAAGCAACTCCAAGAATTACTCTGTGTTTTTGAAGGAAGTGAGGTTCCCAAGCCTCTTGTCTTTTCTTCCTAGAGTTTTCTCACCGGCACGCAGGTTTTCTCACCTCACGCGACTCCCTTCTTGGACCGTGTTCCCACACAGCTGACCGCCCCCTCTTCTTGTTTGGCCCTTGGAAGTGAGGGTGCACATTTCCTCCACAGGACTGCATTCCACCGATCACGTGCTGTGAAAAAGAACACTCAGATTCACCATCTAATTCCATTTCTGCACAATGGAAACGAATCTACCACTTCTTTTAAAAAACTGTATTTTTACATGTGCGAGTGTTTGGATGAATGTATGTGTGTGCACCACACACTTGCGGTGACTGCAGAGGCCAGAAAAGCGTCAGACCCCCTGAGCTGAAGTGACAGACAATAGTCAGCCATCCCGTGGGTGCCTGGGATGGGACCTCCTCGCCACCCCCTCCAAAGCAGCCAGAGCTCTTCCCCACTGGGCTGGGTGTGGTAGTTCACATCAGAGTCCACATACCGGGAGATTTAGGGTTACTGAGAGTTCAAGGTCGGTCTAGCCTCTCTCAAAAAACCTAACCGAAGCAATAAAACCAATTAGCAAATATTTTATGCACTCTTTTAAAAAAATTAACGGTACATCCCCACCACATGCAGCTTGTAGTCTTTCCTTCCTTCCTTTTCCTTTTTCTCCTTTCTTTCTTTCTTTCTTTCTTTCTTTCTTTCTTTCTTTCTTTCTTTCTTTCTTTCTTTCTTTCTTTCTTTCTTTCTTTCTTTCTTTCTTTCTTTCT